ATCTCACAGTGGTGAAATTTCCCGCTGCATTTAACCCATCCCCTTAGGGAGCAATGGGCTGCCATCGTGAGGCACCCGGGGAGCAGTGTGGGGTGAAGGGTCTCGCTGAGAGACCCAGAGTGGCAGCCTGTGGGAGTGGGTTTCGACCTCACAACCTTAGGATTCCAAGTCTTCCTGGCAAGACTGTGGCCAGAAAGAGTCCTGCTATAAATGAACCGTGTTCCTCAAATGTTGCTGATAAAATTAAAGCCTGTTTGGTTTCGCTATTTATTCCACGAGGCAAGGCAGGTTTATTTTAATACCACATTTCGGCAACAATACAGTTTGAGGTGCATGAACAAAAAACAAGAAGATAAAACAAACAGCAAAAAGACTGCAGTAGCCTAGAGGCCGGTAACAAAAAGCTGGCGAGCAAACTAAAACTGATAAAACTGATAATGTTTTACTAAAAAGTTTAAACAGAACAGTCAAAAGCTACTCTAAACAAATATGTTTTGACCTTGATTAAAAGCAGCCTCAGGTTGCGGTAATTTTATTGTTCTTTGGGGAGATTAGTGAAACAAAAGAACTGAAAACCATGGAGAACCAAAACACAATAAAAGTAGAATGTCTACAGTGATTTTAGAGGGAGTTTGAGAAAGTATCCACGAGAGTGGAGAGGAGTTCAGATAAAAATGCTTCTTTCTGGTGTCATCTGGAGGAATGAGTCTAAGAAGAGTTACTTCTGTTACTTGTCTAATGGGTCAGACTGAATGGGAGTCAGAGAAAAGTTAACGTGCTGAGGACATGAATCCTTCTCATAAATCTCAGTTTAAACACAAACATGCTGCTTGAAAAGATTCATTGATGTTCTGTTGATCCAGGTCTGATAGAACCAATATCCGCTTTAACTAGAAATGCACTAGACTCTTCTTTGATGGAGATTTATGTCCCTCTATGTGATTAAATAGTAAACAGCATGATATCAAATTTATATACATGAGAACTTAATGATCATGTATATCATTAAGAGCTGAGATTTTTAAGAACTAAAATGAACCATACGAACTAATGATGGTCAAAAGTGAGCAGAACCACAATAATTTCTAAGGTTTTGTTGTCAATATATGAATAAAAGATTATTTGTTCCCAAGAAGGTCTTAAAATGGTGTAAACCCAGCAGCAGGAGGGATCACATTGGGTCAATATTTGACAGAACCTAAACTAAAATGCTGAATCAGTCAAAGAAGAACTAAATCCATCCTTTTGGCAGAGGGTAATTTAATTAAAGAAATATTTTTGTCCAACATTCAATAAAAGACAATCATAAACAAGTCTGGATAAACCTTCAGCAAGTTCATTTTCACATTTCAGATTATGAAATGAATAATGCTATGTGAAATATTCAAAGCTTGAGATATATTTTAATAAATGCTAATCCTGCTTTAAAGTTTCACAACATTCACTGTAAACTATCTCCAGTGTTTCCTGGCCTTAAGTGCTGTTTTTTAATCTTATCTACCAAATCTTCACAAAAATACTAGATTTGTATTGACAATCAATTACACAAGTAGACTGATCAGGTTATTTCTGAAAAAAAAAAAAAAAGGCCTCACAGGCTTGTTTTATTCGTAATGGCATCATAAGGGGCTAAATACCCTGTGGCATGCTTTATTTTGTGTGTTTTTGTTTTTGTAAAAATGTTAAAAATTCTGTATTATTTGCCTTCTACTTTACACTTATGCACAATAATAGGTTGAATTTGTATGGCACATATAAGGGTTTGTGGTTATATTGTGGCCAAAAGTGAGCTGAACAAGCACAAGTAAACGTGAGTAAGTCAAAGCTTTAAGGTTTTAGTACATTGTAGACTGTAGAAGGGATTTTCTTACCGCTCTTAAGATTTAATAAATAATACAAAATAAAAGTTGAGACCCAGAAAAAAGGTATACTAGACTCAAACATAATCCAATTTATAAAAATTTAATTGATTATAAAAGAAAACAAGCAATAGTAAGGAGAACTATAAAGTATGCAAAAAGAGAATATTGGAAAAAATTCTGTAATACGATAGGGAAAGAAACAAAAATAGAAAAAATTTGTAA